CGACGCCGACCCAGACCAGAATGCCCGCCGAGAGGGCGTCAAGAGTGCCGATGGCGATGACGGTGGCCGGGTCGTTCCCGTTGAACTGGCGCAGCGCGCCGATGCCGATGGCCATCCCCAGCGGGGTCACGAGGGCGAAAGCCAGGGCGAGGAGAAGTTTCTTGCGCAGCGAGACATGCTGGCTAGCGCTGGGCGAAACAGCGGCGGGACTCGCAGTGGAGGCGGTGCTGGTGGCCTCGTCTTCGGTGGGCGGGTGCGCCGTTTTGGGCTCGGCGGGCTCAGTTCCACCGGCCGTGGTAGCGTGGTTGTGCGTGTGGTAGTGCTCATGGCCATGGGCGTGATTGTGGCCATCCCCGTGACCGTGACCATGGCCCGATGCCGGGGCCGAAGTCAGGCAGGGCCGGCCGAGGGCGGCAATGCGCGTGCCGAGGGCGAGGCCCTCGAACATTTGATGAAACACAATGACCGCGAAGAGGGTGAGGAAGAAGCTGTCACCGGCGACAACGAGGGTGAGGCCGATTACTGATGGAGTTAGCGAATATACCAAATATTGATTGAAAATTGACCTTACGGAGGGAATGAAAGATAACGCCCGCTTCCAAGACGGTGATGTTGACCATGTCGGTGCGGGCAGTGGGTGTGGCGTCGTTGTGCCCGGCAGACTCAACATTGCCTGCCTTGGCTTTGGATTCGTGCCACTGGATGAGGCGGTTGCCGGCATACTCAACCAGGAACGACAGAAAGAGCCCAGCCATGAGAATAGCTGAGGCAGTGGATTCGTAGGAGAGCTCGCCCAGACACTCGTTTGCAAACATTAAGTGGGCGTGCGTGTAAAGCTTTTGGGGGGTTAGCATAAGTATCCGCTGACATTCTCTGTGTCTGACGCAGGCACTTACGTGAATGAAGGCGGTCGAGATAATGACACCGGTGCCGAACTGTCTCAGAACAGTGAACACGTGATGTGACGGCGAGACGTACGAGGCCACAAGGATCGGGGTGAAGACGCCGATGGAACTAGTCGCCAGCATGACGAACAACAGGCCAACGCGCAAACGAATGTTGTAGTCCCTCTCGACCCTCGCGCAACTTTGCTCCTCCTCTGACCCGCCGGTGCAGTGCCTGTAGCGGTTAGCATCACACTCTGACAAGCACAGACAGATTTCCTTACTCGACGCCGGCATGGAAGTGGCAGCGCTGGCCACTTGACCCATGGTCACTCGACTCATGGCCACTATGATCTCCCTCTTCTTCCTCTACAGCTGGGTGGAGCTCCACTTCGTCTCCATTGGGCCCAATACAGACGCTGGAATGTATCAGCATACTGTTGGGGAAATTGGACAGCGGGTAGACCATACGTCTCCGATCCGTGACTATGACAGCCGGTAAAGGAAGGCGGGATGTCCTGGGTCGCCGTTACGGTAGTGTGCACTTCGTATTCGGCTGTGCCAGCCATACAGAAGCTAGAGAGCGCGGTTAGTATTTTGCGTTCACATCAAGCCTGTTAAGTAACACGCACAGTGCAGAGCCGTGGGCGTGGCATTCAGACACAGCGGTGATGCTCGAGCTGACCGAGTCGGCCTGGGTCGGTGTCGGTGTCTCAGTCTGCGCAGCCTGGGCAGCTATGATCTCCACCTCCCCAGTAGGTGCCATGCAGAATCTGTCATCGTCAGCCGTCATGAAGAATAGCGATAGATGGAGCTTGAAGCTTACGTTTCAGCGCCATGCTCGTGGCAATCAGTGTATGACGAAACGGTGGCAGTGCCTGATACAATCCTAAACTCGGACGTCCCTGCTTGGCAATACCTAAGAAGATTGGTGTGAGAAGCGCCTAAATCAGCGGATGGATGACGTACTGTACTGTTCCGTGAAGATGGCATTCCGACACAGCAGTGACCGTGGCAGGACTAGGCTCCGATACAGAGAGATCAACGTGGGGCGACCGTTGACGAAGTGGTCCGGGAGTGGGAGAGGCAGCTTCAACGCTAGCAACAGCGAGTAGGCCGAAGAGAACGGACGCCCGAAGGGTCGTCGAAATCCAAGTCATGGTAACAGATCTTGGCTCGTCTCCCAAAAGCGCGCCAACTCAGTAAATTTCGAGCGGTTTGACGAAGAATGGGCCAACGAGATGAACGGGGGCAGTTCAGCTCGCTTCTCTGTCACCACAAGACGAGAAAGACTGGTGGTAAGGGGGCGGGAGGCCTGAGGCAAGCGGACTGTGCCGTTCGTTTATCACTTTTCTGGGTGCACCTTGGTGGCCGTGGAGTTGGGGGTCACACAAGGGGAGCGCATTCATGCCCCGGAATAATCCGCCGAGTGCAACCGTGGAAGCTGTCAACTCTGCAGAGAGAGAAGGAGGGAGCGCTGTCGGTGCCCTAATCGAGCGAGGATTCCAGATTGGGTCTTTTGAGCGGGGCGGTGGTGGTAGTGGCGATCGAGGGGAGGGTCGGAAGAGAGGATAAAAAGGGACAGCTGCGTGTCTCACTGGACTCCAGAAATAGACGATGCAGAACAGTAAAACTCGTCCGCGGGAGGGAGGAAAGTGTGGATTCGACCAGCATCCACAGGGAGATGGAGGCACGGCCAAGTTGCGGCCTTGGCTGAGTCTGAAAGGCGAAATACACAACATCTGATTGGCTTATCAGCGCACAGGCTGCGCGCAATTTCAACCCGGACACCTTGATGGCCATCGGATGTAAGAACCTTGATGACTTCTGCAAGCGTGGAAGGCACGGCAGCCCAGCCAGCCAAGACTTTTCCCAACTTCAGCCCCCGCGCAACATACGCTCTCTTCCCTTGTCTGTGCCGTTCGCCCCAGTTTCATCGCGACCGAACAGCCAACAACAGAACCAGACGAGTATGGCCGTCTCCAGCGAGACGGCCATCAAGGGACGCAGTAGCATTTTAGTTACCTGACAACAAGAAAAAAAAAACCAACAAACTTGTCATCCCACGCTCTGCATCGGGAGAAAATCATAAGATGTCATGCCTTGGATTGGTTATATTTGTAAAGCTGAAGTCCATTATCCGAACACCTTGTTGGCCGCTTGGCGACTTGCTTCTCGCTAAGGTGTACCGAGTCTGTCATGCGAGTGCCGGTGCCACTCCTGGTGTGGACTCTAGAATGAAATACCTGGTATGTGCAGTGCTGGTTGACCTTGGTTGCGGTGGTTGGACGAGGGCTGCCCAAGATGCTGGGTCTGCCGCCTGGTCACATCACATACATATATTGGTCATACCTACCCACGCGATATCCGCATTCAGAAATCCACTCTCCACGTTTTGTCCTGCGTGTAGCAGCATTAAACAGTGTTCAAAATGAAGATAACTGCATTTGTCGCAGCCCTTGTGGCACTTGTTTCCACGGCGCTGGGTCAGGCCGAGACACTCGCCCCGTCCCCCACCGAGTCGTACGGCTGCGAGCCGCACGGCGATCATTGGTGAGTGATCCGTACAAGTACATGTACCACGCATCCCACGTGGATTTCTCGTGATGCTGAAACAAGGTCTCACGCCAGGCACTGCGAGGGTCCCCGGACCGCTCAGACGAGCGTCACCACAACCACGGGCACTGCCCTTAGCACCTCCACAGCCATTCATGACGACGGCCATGATCATGACCACGAAGACGATCATGAAGACCACGATGAGCACACCGATGCCGCCGGGACTGGCAGCCTGAAGCCCAGCCCTACTGAGTCGTACGGCTGTGAAGCTCACGGCGACCACTGGCATTGCGAAGGCCCTATCACTGCGTCCGTCACTGACTCCAGCTCCACGTCAGTGAGAACCACCATCCCCCCAGCGGCCACCGGAACTGAAAATGCCGCGGCTACCTCAACCACGAGCACTGGAGGTGCATGCCGATTCGAACTTGCGGGGCTGGGCTTTGCCGGCGTCGCCGCTGCCGCCGTCATGGCCCTTTGATCAATTGTCGTTCTTGAATAACTCAAGGATTTGTGACGCACACACCTGAAGCAAACTTAAGGAGAAGGATACTAGGCAATTTGTGGATGCTTGGCAAATATATACATCTCCAATGTACTGCATAGCGTCATGTATATCTTTGGTTTCCCGAGTTGCTCCAAAATGAAGCCTCTCCTTTCACCCTCACTGCTAAAGAAAAAATTGTATATCGTCAACAGCAGCAACGATGACAAAGTATTTGCCGGTCTAAACGCCGGTCCCCTGAACCCCATCGGATAAGCGTGCTTCTTGTCGCCGGGGGAGGGGCATCAATTTCCAGGAGTAAGAGTAGTTACGTCCTTCTTGATGCGTTGCGATTAGGAAAGAACGCAATGAATAAGAGAAGAAAAATCCGAAACATATGTCGTTTACTGACGTAATTAACGCAGTCAGTAGTTTCTCCTTAGTAATTATGTAACGAACCGAGCCCAAGATGGGGTGTCGACACCCCACCAAAACATTTGCTGAATTTGTGGATTATTTGCTTGGTTGGAGGGTTATTTTTGCGGAAAACTGAAGTTTTCTCTTTTAGCTGTCGATCAACTAAACTAACTAGCAAAATTGAGTAGTATTTACGGTGTCATCAAGCCTCGCATATGGATCGCTAGCCTCTCACGTAGATAACTAAGGATCAAGGGCTCCACTTTTAACGATCAATATTGGCTTTACGGGCAAGTTACAAATCACCTCGTCGAACTATCAGAATAGGTAGTTAAGTGAGTTCCGGAGAAGAAAAGAAGAGGGAAAAGTTGGTTAACTACTACAAACACCCACGTTGGGTTGAAGGACCAATAGGCGCACAAGCCCTGCAAATGTCCAGCCTCAATGTTAGAAACGTGCCTATAACCCGAACCCTGGCGCACCCTCTGCCACATTTCGTCTCAAGAAAACTCTTTGAGTCTAAATAATCAAACAATCGACCAGTAAAGGAATTGATAAGCTGAAAAGGTCAAGAAAGGAGTCAAAAGTGATGGCGGTTTGGCTAAAGAACAACACCAGAGATAGACATTTACCATCGAAAAAAAGATATTTGAAGCCACCCCGCGTGGGGCTCGAACCCACAGCCTTTGGATAACTACATCCTTAATAGAAGTCCAATGCGCTACCGGATTGCGCCAGCGGGGCTTTTATTGGTTACCACGAGTCGAAAAGAGACTTTAATTAGCGGCCGAGCAATAGTAGGGGCTCACTTTGGCTCTGCTATTGCCTTTCCCTCTTTCCTTTTCCAGCCTTCGATTCGCAGAATGGAGCAATATTGACAGCGTCATCGAGTCTCGCATCCGTACTGCTCGTATCTCACAAATGAAATCAAATATCGTAGCTTTAGCCTTGTAAACCACTAGAGCTGTTATATCCCTGAGACACCAAAACACTCAAGCTGATCGATAAGATAAGACCAACTGTGACTCATAGCTCCTCTCAAGAACAATTCTGACATAACATCAACACGTTCCGAATCGGACGTTGCTTTCTTAGTTACATACACTCGTGTCAAGCATCGAACATCTCGAACCCGTGAAAATGGCGACTCAAAACCCAGTCGTCCGTGTTGGCGTCGCGGCCATTATCCACGACGAACAGGGACGATTGGTACTAGGTATTCGAAAAGGGTCTCATGGCGAAGGTATGCCAACACCTCGGTCCACTATTTGTGCGAGGTTGAGACGGCTGATAGTCATAGGCCAGTGGCAATTCCCTGGTGGCCATCTTGAGGTGGGTGAGAACTACTTTGCATGTGCTGAACGAGAGGCGTTGGAGGAGACAGGCCTTGATGTTCAGGCTGAAAAACTTGTCGCCGTGACCAACGATATCTTCAATCCACAACGACACTACATTACGCTCTTTGTGCTATGCCGGCGAATTTCCGAGAGCGAACAACCGCAGGTTAGTTGTACTTAACATGACATTCTGCCTTAATCCGTTTTCTTTCGACTTTAACAGGTCGCATATCACAGGTTCTGGAACCCGAGAAGTGCGAGTGCTGGGAGTGGAAATCCTGGGCTGACGTCAGAGCTTTGGTCAATGGGGAGCTTGGACACACAAAAGTTTTCCTGCCTATTGTCAATCTGCTCAGGGATCATCCTGACATTGAGGGCTCTTATTCGAGCCGTTCATGAAATTTTAAAATGCTGAGGCGAAAGTCAGCTTTTCGCCTTGAACGACGGGAAATCCCGTGGCAGGGCACACCTCGAAAAGCGAAAAAATATAGTGTGTTGAAGGTATTTTCAAGTGGGGAGCTTTGACAAGTCTCTCAATGTCCAGCAAAAGCTTTGGGTCTGGATTATCCAGTTCAAGTTTCGCTTCGCTTTTTTTTGGCACAACAGTTCATATATTCTGCGGTCGCCGAATCTTGATCCGGATGCAGGTGTGTCGAAAAAAAAAAAAAGGAACCATGTATTTATTGTGAAAAAAGAGAAGAAGAACAATGCGTGCGCAAGAGAGAGACCTGGAGAGAGTAAGATAGATCTAAAGCAGCCTCGGTATTTCCCTTCTCTGCCCAAGCTCAGAAGAGCTTCGTTGGCCACGTGTATCACATTTATATTGCTCCTATTGTGACTTGAAGATCATCGACCCAGAAAAGCTTGCAATGACTTACTACAGCCATTTGCGGATTCGATTCTGAATTCTAGCACCGTATGAACCCAAGAGCGAGTCTCCGAAGTTCCTTTTATTACTTTATCATTTAAAGAAGGCGTGGTTTTGGGTGGGTCAGATTCTTGGTGGGGCAAACACGGCATGGCCACTCGGCCATCCGTGCTTGGCGCATCTGATGACCCCACCTAGATTTTGCATCGCTCACCTCTGTCCAGCGGCGGGCATTTGTTCCAAAACCCATCTCACCAACACCGAGGCCGGCAACCACAACACCATCGTCGTGGGGGGAGTTTCTCACTTATAGCGCGACACATGAACTTTGTTAGCCTGTACCGTGTCTTCTAAACCCAAAGAACGCTCCTATGCATCCCGTCCACAAGAAGCCGAGCCCTCCCGACCCCGCCAATCGAGCCCTTTGATCTCGCAGGTCCTCCCCTCCACCCATTGACACGACTCCATCCAAGCCGCAACGATGACCGGGGAAGGAAACTCAGGTGTGCGGCCTCCGGCGGCTGACGATGGTCCGCGGCCGACAGAGACCGCTTCTACCGCCACTGTCCATGACAGCTACGATCCACAACAAATTATCGCTATGGCTCGCCATCCGCCTCCTGGCGCTTCCGTCTACTCGCCTACGGCCGCCCCCTCCGCCGCCTTGAACCCCAGAAGCTGCGTCACATGTCGGAGGAGAAAGGTATTTCAGCTACGCCATGTTCCTGGTGCCGTCACTAATAATCCCAGGTTCGCTGCGATAAACATATGCCGTGCTCGAACTGTCGCCGCGCTCAGATCCCTTGCATATTCCCAGCACCAGGGCGAGCACCACGACGGCCCCGCCCAAAGGACCCGAATGCGCCGACGAAACAACCATCAAGTGAACGTGAGCTGGAATTGATGAAGCGGTTGCGGAAACTCGAGGGCATTGTTGAAGAGCTCAGCGGACAAATTGAGGTCGAGTCAGTACGCCACCCTTACAGCGCCACAAACTCTCCAGAGGCGGCAACCGCATATCCGAAGGACGACCATACTATTGGGGGCCGCTTCGGCGTTCTTGTTGCCAACAGCGGCAGCTCCAGTCATGGTTCGCCTGGTGGTGCTGCCGCAAAATTACCGACGAGACAAGATTCTTCTATGTCCGAGGCGGACTCCCTCAGCAAGGTGTCACCCGATGTTCACAAGCAGTTCGGCCGCTTGGTGTTGAACGAAAAGGGGGTTGCTCGATACGTCAGCAGCTCGCTCTGGTCATCCATCAACGACGAGGTAAGCCCTCCTCCGGCAAGGTCAGGTGCGCAATATTGACGTGGTATGTAGCTGGATGAACTGCGAAAAGCTTCTCAAGATCTTAGCGACGAGGAATCCGTTGTTTCGGACGATGACGCCACCCCTGAATCTGCCGACCATGACAAAACGTTGATGGACCACCAGTCATTCATTTTTGGATACCGCTCCGCCGACGTTGATCTTAGATCCTTACACCCGTTACCGTCCCAAATTCCATTCATTTGGCAGGTTTATCAAGAGAACGTCGACCCAATACTGAAAGTTGTTCACGTTCCTACCATGAGCAAAGTCATCAAGGAGTTTCGACAGAATCTTGATAGCCTCAATCCCTCGACAGAAGCCTTGATGTTCTCCATCTATTACGCCGCAATCACATCATTAGAGGACGAAGAGGTATTTGTGCACCTGTCATGCATGAATGACTTGCCGTTGACGTCTCTAGGTGAAAATGAACTTCGGTACCGATAGAAGCGTCCTGATCCAAAAGTACCGCTTTGCAGTCGAACAAGCCCTGGCCAAGGCCGAATTCCTGACCAAGCCAGATTTCACTGTGGTCCAAGCCTTGATGCTGTTCCTGGTTCTCGTTCGCCGACACGACGACACAAGGTTCACCTGGACCCTTACCGGTCTTCTCATTCGCCTCAGTCAGGCCCTGGGCCTCCACCGCGACGGGACACACTTCCCCAACTTAACACCTTTCCAGATCGAAATGCGCCGGCGCCTCTTTTGGGCCGTGTGCGTCTTGGACCTACGGTCTGCCGAGGACCAAGGTACCGACCTCAGCATTGTGTCCGGGACCTTTGACACCCAACTTCCCCTTAACATCAACGATAGCGACATCTCCCAGGATAGTACGCAACTTCCAGAACCGAGAGAGGGCACAACCGACATGACTTTTTCGCTTATCCGCTACGAAATCTGTTCGCTGTCACGGCGATTGCATACAGTGTCGTCTGGCATGACCCCCGCTTGTCCCAGCGATGCAGGAAAGTCGCTGGCAGAGCGTGAAGCCTTACTTAATGAAGTGTCCAACAGGGTGCAGAAACAGTTGCTGAAAGACGACTCTAATGCCATGTTCTGGGTGGCATCAATTGTCACCCGGATCGTTGTTGCTAAAATGACACTTGTCATCTACCAGCCTCTCTTGCTGCCGGGGTCGGGCGACGAGGTCCTTTCCGAAGAGGTCCGCACACGTCTGCTCAACGCTGCTCTAGATGTGTTTGAGTACAGCCACGCTTTGAACACAGATCCGCGTGGTAGACAGTGGCGGTGGCTGTTCCAGACCTGGATTCATTGGCACGCGTTGGCATACACCCTGCTCGAAGTCTCCCACCGGCCATGGGGCCCAAAGGCCGAACGCCTTTGGGCTGCGCTTAATCTCAATTTCCAGTCAACCGACCCGGCCGAGATGGAGAAGCTGGCGAGCCATCACGCTGTGTGGATGCCCTTGAGAAAGTTATACCTCAAAGTGAAGAAGCACAGGGAGGTCGAGATCGCTCGTTTGCAGGCAGACCCGCAGGCGGCACAGGAGCTTGCTCTCAAAGACCAACCTGGGACGCCGCCTACCACCTTTGGCGCCATCTCGGGCTCGGTAAAAGGTGCCATTGCCCTCGATCGATGGCGGAATCTGGTGAAACTGCCCGCACAGCCACAGGGCCAATCTCAACCTCAGCAAGTGCCGCCGGCAGGACTTCCAGAGCGAAGCCAAACCATGCCTCAGAGCTCGATGGGCGTACCCCCCTCCGTCACAGAGGACTATGCAAAGCCCGAGGTTATGGAGTACCTCGACGGTGCTATGGCTGACCCAGCATTCATTCCTATAGACTTCGCCCCTCTATGGAACACAGCTCAGCCCGACGATATTGTCCGCGCTGCTTTCAATGCCTCCTACCAAACTGGCAATCTCCCGCAGAATAACGGCTCGCTGGGCTTCGACACAAACCCGCCGATTATTAATATGCAACAAATGGGCCGGAGCTCAACCTCGATGAGCTTGCCTTCTCACCTATCGCAACCACAGCAACAGCAAGCATCGCAGGGGATGGTGCAGACGCCTCTAAACAATGAGGATAACCTACCACCGTGGCTTTGGCCGACGACTGGCTCGCCGGACATTTTGAACATGCCGAATATGGGGAATGATGATATGGATATGAATATGGATGATGGGTTTGACTGGCAGACGTGGCAGGAAAACCTAGGACGCTACGAAGTAGAGGCAAATGGTGGGCGGGGCGGGAGTACCTGGG